TCAAAATGGACAGTTTTTCATACACGGTACCACGGTAGAAGTTAGTCAAATTCAACCAATTTTAAAAGTGTACCACAAATGTCTTAATTATGGATTGGTAAGTAATGTCATTTATAGGAAAAAATTAAGAATAAAGATGGAATTATCGGTTATTTGTAATTAATGATAAAATATTTATAACTTAATCAAATTATAAAATAGATAGTTTATTTATGAAATATTTTGGATGATTATTAATGTTAACTACTAATATTCACTTTGCAGTTTGGAATGCGGAAAATTCATTTTTTGATTCCATATCACTTTACCAACTATGGCACTCATGCCGAAAGAGTTTTAGACCTGGGAATTTTTAACTTAGAAGCTATGTTACCTGTAAGCACATTTTAGTTTTTAACTTAAAATAAATTTAATAAGTTCTATTTACTAAATTTTGACACATTAAATTTTTATTATAATTTTTTTTTTGCTTTTTTTATTGCTTTACTGATTATTCTTGTTATGCTGTCAATTAGCAACGAATATTAAAGTTTAAAATTCTTAAAAACTAAATTTTTATATTGAAAAGCATATGATGTGTAAATGAAATAATTAAGTTGAGAAGGGTCATTTGCCATTGTGTTTTTTTAATTGGAATGCTAATTTCAGGATGAACAATATGAAATTTTTGTGTCGTAATGATGAAGCATTGGATATGTTATGTCATTCAATTGTTATTTTGAATTAATTAATATATCGTAATTCAATTATTTTCGAAAAACCAATTACGATAAAGTTTTCATTCATTCATAAGTTGCAATTCATTTTCTCATTTCTCTATATTTATTTGCTATCAATTGTTATCAAAATTTTTTCTTTGTCTAATCTTTAAGTTATTATCATACTACAGTTTAGTTTTTATTTCAAACAATTTAGAACAATTTATTGATCCCTCTTCATCTGTCATTTTTTATTGCATTTAAATTTGTTGCGTAAATTAAATTTACATCAATCATTGCCTTTCTTATTTTATTCGTCATAGTGTTCTGTCTACATTATTTTTAAAACCTTTTTCTTTTCCTTAAAAAAAGAAAACCAACTTTTATTTCAAATAATTTTTTCTAAATATGAATAATGAAGTAATAATTGAACAAAATATGCAAATTTTAGTAGTAATTTCTTTTAGGCAATGATGCTACAGGCAATGTTATTACTGTTAATGCTATCAAATTATCAATTGACAGAAAGTCGAGAGCAATCGGTACGAATGCGAGGAATTTTTCGATGTGGTGAAGAAATTCCACACAATGCAACGATTGAATTATGGAATGAAGCGAATCCTTTGCTCGATTTTTTTCATCAACTTTTCATTCAAAAAAAACGTATAAAAATTTTTTGTTAAAAAAAAGTAAAACTTAAATTATGGCTAATTTAATGCTGTAATGTAATATCACGATTTTAATCGTAAATTTGAGTGATTTCACCTCTCGTCATTAAACCATTCATTAATTGATTAAGTTGAATATTTGTCATAATTTAATTCAGTGAATAGTTAATATTAAGCAATGGCAAAATTTTTTTAAAAACACACTTTGGTATCATTATTTTTCAATTCTGATAAAATTACAGCAAATTATTTCAGTTAAATTTTGCAACAGTTTGAAAAATTTTCAAATACTTCCGTTATTAATTTTAACTCAAAACAAAACTTAATTGAGTCAGAAGAGTAAACAATGAAATTAAAAAAGCACTTGAAAACATTTGAAAAAAGAATTAAATAACCATATGAAAAAAATTGGAAAAAAGAAATAATTTTTTTTCTGATCATATTTTTTTTTATTCCATGTTGTAATTGAATATGATAATTTTAAGGTGATCCCGATGAAAGACTTTTTACGACACATCCTGATATTAATGGTAGTTTTGAAATTAATGTTATACATGAAAAATTTACCAAATTAAATTTGTATATGGTAGTATATCATCAATGTGAACATTTCATTCATTGCAAATCCAACAATTTTGCAAAAGTTAGTTAGCATTGTATGTTCCACAATTTAATGATGAAAATTGTTTTATGAATTTCTTTTTCTATTATCTCATCATTTATTTTTGTAATTATTAAATCACTTGAATAATCATTATTTAACTAGTTAATTTCGGATGATAATTTCATTAAATTGTTGATTCGATTCAAATTTTTCCTGTTCATTTTTTAATAATTTTAAAGAAAACAGCTAAACATTAGCAAACTTCGAAAATATTTGAAATATATTTTGCGATATGTATTCATTCAATCATTTAATAATTGTAATATTTGAAGAAATTCTATTAATGCTTCAATTTTTGAGAAATTATCGCACTTTTTTTTTCTACCTTTCTTTTTTTACAGCTTCAAAGATGGAGACAATTTATATTTCGTATACCACAACGATATGTAAATGATGGTGACAAAGGTTTAGAAGTTTTCGATTTGGGTAGTTGGAATTTACAATTTAAATTCATGGTAATTGGATATTTCAGTTCATCCAATGAATTCCACTCAATTTTTGATCATTTTTCAGTACTGAAAATTCACTATTTTAATTCAATTTTTGGAGTGTTTTATTTTATTTAAGTGAATTACGTAAATTTGATTCGGGAATTTGGATTTTTATTATTATAGAATGTTGCTCCAATTAAAGTAAGCTAAAATGAATGATGAATTAATTGAGATAAGGTTAAGGTTTTCAGTTACAAACAATTGGAAAAATTTAATTGGTGATTAGATTGAATTAATTTATGATTTGTATTCTTATATTACATATATGCCGTTATGCACAGAAAAGTTCGAGGAATAAATTTTAGATAATTAGAAATAAAATAATTAATAAATATCCAAAAAAATTCGGTCATATAAAGTTTAATCACATTTACTGTTGACAAATGTGTGTGCTCGGGCAAAACGTAGAAAATTTTACAATACTATTATCAGATAAGAAATACAAAATAATTTACAGGAAGAGGAATTAGTAATGAGTTGTGGTGGCACCGATTTCAAACCTTGTTCAATCAACTTTCCAGAATATTCACCGTATTTGCAACTTTTCTGGAAGCGTTCTAATCTTCCACATTGGTAATAGTGGATGAAATTTAAAAGATGAAACGAAATGATTAAATTTTTTTGCCAACAATTTATCATCATTATTGTTCAATATTTGCATTAAAATTAGCGACTAAAAGTATTATATTTAAAAGTTAAATTTTTGCTAATAATACCAGCTAAGAAGCTATATTCGAATTTTTCTCCTTTCATAAATTATTTGCAGGAAGCGTCACTTTTGTTGTTTAAAATTGAAATTGAATTATTAAAATGTTATCTCTGTAAAATAGAAATTCAATAACAATATTCAATCGAATTTAATATTTAGATTAAGATCAGCCGTGTGTAATATTGAAAAGATGAAAAATTTCGTATCACATTCGATAGGTCAATTTTGCTGCGTAAAATCAGAATTGATTTGTTAACATGTTACTTTTTTATTTTACTTAAAATCAGAAATCGATTATAGCAACAGATCAAAATTATACACGTTCATTACATAAAAAGCATATTTATGCTAAGCTGTTGAAGTCAATGGCATGGCAAAATTACATGAAATTATATGAAAGAAAAAATTTCTTCAAATGATATTTGCTAATTTCATCCATTTTTCATTCTTTGTCATTGCTTTATTCGAAATTTTCGTCCCATTCCCGATTTTGCGATATATCAACTGAAAAACAGTTTGTTAATTATAAATGTTTGTGCTAATTTTCAAAAGATTTCATAATACCGCATTTTTTTGCTTTTCCTAAATGTAAAAACGTGTATTACCAATCTAATTTCCAGTTTTAATTAGCAATAATCATTAATAATTTCTGCGCAATTCTTTGTCTTTTTCGAATACTTCGTTTTACCTTATATTAAATTAGTGAATAATGCAATAAAAATTAAAATTTATAATTGACTGTTAATATGAACTTATTGTTATGAAATGCAAAAAATATTTAAATCATTACGTTGCAAATTTTTAAAACCATTTTATATGTGAGCAATATGATTTTGCCAATTTTATTTTTATTAACTTTATATTTTTCATTTTATTAATTCATCCATTGACCATTATTAATTACTTCTATCGATTAAATGCAGTTTTCATATTGATATTATCGTATCGTTTAAATATTTTTACCACATATTAGAATGTTATTAGCTCGATGCTATTTCATACTTTGTTATTTTTATGCCTCATTAAAATATTAAATTGATAGTTTTAATAAGCATGCTTAACAATTTCTTAATCAAAAACGGATATGTTTTGCAACTTATAATCTGCAAATAATTGATCGAATCTATTTTAGCAATGAATGCCATAGCATCATCTATCTTATTAACTTTAATTAGCACTGCCAATGGTTTTATAAAATTTAATCAATCATTTGAAATTCATGGACGGTTTATGTGCGGTCAACAACCGTTGCATCGTGCAGCAGTTGAACTATGGGAAGATAATCAATCGCTGTTGAAATCAATAGTGTATGTTTTAATGCAGAAAAGAGGTAACAACAATTTGTTTCCTTTTCATAATACGATTTCTTTCTTTTAAAATATTTAATTGATAATTTCAATAAAATACGATAAAACTGCTGCTACAATTATTATTTTAATGTAAAAAATGATTATATTAAGAAATTATCAAACTTCTCAATCTGTCGCTGAGATAAACCATATATTTCCGTTCATGTTCACCATATCCTGTATTTTTGATGGAACAACAAAGTTTATTACTATTACTATTGATTGTTATTATCATTATTATTATTATTATTGATCCTTATTATTGACTATCATTATTATTGATTGTCACCATTGTTATTGATTATTATTATTTTCAATTATGAAGAACCAAATGATGCATTTCTTGCTCGAACAAATACAAATGAATGTGGCGAGTTTAGAATAAATGGAACTCGTAAATCTGCAAGTAAGATGCAACCGTATATTTATGTTTATCATCGATGTGATGCTGATGAATTACCTATAAGTAAATCTCGATCAAAGGTATGAAAATTTCACTAAAAAAACACTTTTTACTAAAAAAAAAAATATCGTTTCCTATTTTTTCAAAAAAATATCGTTTCCTATTTTTTTATAAATTAAACATTCAAGAATTATTGCATAAATGAACAAACTATTATGGAAATTTCTCGATTTGTATAAAATGTAAGAAGCTAAATTGGAAAATTAGATTCATATATTTTTCACATTTACAGAATGTTTAAAATATAAAATAGTTTAGTAATTTTTACTTCTAGTTCAAATTGTGGCGCACATTTGTAATAAAAGTGCCAGAAAAATATGTAAGTGCCGGGAATCGAGCTTCGCGAACATTCGATTTAGGAGTATACAATTTGCAATTTCAGTTTGCAGTAAATTTCTTTTTCTGTTTTCTTCTTTTTTTGTGTAACATTAATTTATCAAAATTCTTTGGACAATTGCTTTCGAAGCATGCAATTTTGAATAATATCTAATCTATTCGCTTCAAGTGTATTCCTAGGTCAAATATTATATATCCAATTAATTTATATGGTAATTTTTTAAAATTGCCAGCTGTTATTTTTTCATTCCCCGAATTCCAAATTCCAACTTTAATTTAGTTAAAAATTGTTTAAATATCGCAAGGAATCCGTTTTAATTTTTTTAATCTTGAAGGCACTTTTCTCACAGACAGATATGATAAATTAATTTTGAGCTATCCATGTTAGTGCCTAACATTATTATGATAAATTTATTAAATAAAACTTAATCCGAATAATAATTAATTTCAGGATGAAATATTATTGGAGAATTGTAATCTTCGCAATGAACTGTATTACAGACGGTGTGCTTACAGTATTCCATCACCATTTCTGCCCCGGCTTACGCATTTCCCTTTTTTCATACATTAAATATATTTTTCAATTAATTAATCTGTAGTTTCAACTGAGCCATCCTTAATAAAACTGTATCATACGGTAAATATATCATTAGGCATTTTATCATTTCTTAAAATTCATCCACTATTTTAACCTTAGCTGATTTGATTAAAGTATTAAACACCTTTCCGAGAGGAATATCACAGTATTAGTCAGTTGCAACTCACAGGGACGTTTTAACGTGAAAATTGAACGTAAAATTTCCCTGTATTAATTATAATATTTTCCTAATCAAGCCTGATGCGTAACGTAAAATGTTACGTAATGAGTTACCCATTACCTTAAAATACTAGGCTCTTAACAAAGCCGACTTAATGGAATTAAATAATAGAAATGCATCATATATGTCACTTGAATGTTATATTTTAAGACTAGGTGGCTGGCTTATATTTGCATTCGTTGAAATTGAACTTTTCAAGGATTTATTCTTCCATTTTCTATATTTTCTTTCTGACACTTCCATTTTTTTCACGTTTTTTCTTTTTCCATTATCAGCATTTGCTTCTCTTCTTTTAGATATGGAATGTTAAAAATGATATGAAAAGACATCCAAATTCATTTCAACAAATGTTTTGTAAATAATAAATTATTTAGCTTGATATATATGCTAAATTTTATTGCATTGAATTTTTTAGGAAATTTTATTATTGGTTTTATTTGCAAAGCCAGTAGTGTAGCTATGATAAAATGGAAATGAAATTTTCATTATAGAAAAATAAAATCATTCTCAAAGCTAGAGTTTTCATAATTTTCACGGCTTGATAAATGCCTGCAATCAGTGTATCAGCTTATATTTTTTCAAAGTTGCTAATATTTTCTACAATTTGAAAAAAGCGCTACAAATCATAGAATGATCTTTGATGTCGTGAATGCTTTACCGCATTGTAATCAAATTTTCTTATTAATAAATTTCAATTATTCCTTGGCTATCGATATTCCAAAACTTCCATACAGAATTATTCTAATTGAATTCGATGGTCAAAAATTTTTATCAATTTGTAGCTCATTTAACACTTTATCTTTTAAAATACTGTTAATGATAGGGATGAAAAATGATATGAAAAACCGTCAAATCAACTGTAAAGTAACGCATACCCCCAATTATTTGAAAAAAATATATGAGAAAAATTATTTGAAGTGCAATAGACTTCGTTTCCACTCCAATTAATTATTTGTCCAAATTCAAAGGTATCCAATATGTTTCCCCGAAGAATATTAGCACCAATCGTCGATGATATCATCTATATTGAGAGAATTAATAATTTTCGTATAACAAATCATTAATCATTAATAATAAATCCATTCAACATTTCATGCATAACATACCTTATTTGATCTATCTGATATGCTAATATTTATAATTAATAGATGATAATATTCTTCGTGAAAACCACGAGTAATATTGCGCGGACACTGTAACGCAAAATAAACGACATCCATTTTTTATTTTTTTGCTAATTGCTTATTTATTGGGAATTCATTTTTTATTTGCCGTAATCAAGTTTATTACGTGAAACAAAAACATTGCAAAAGATTGGATCGATATATGAATTGAAAATTCCAACATCACATATAATACCGTAATTATATGAGAATATATTAAATATAGAACGACGTTAGTTATAAAGTATATCAAATTGAAGAAGAGGTAATCAGTGATATGTTGTAAAAAGCAATATTGTGTAGAATTTAGGATATAAATTGATATGGGATGATCACGTATGAAGTGTGTCATCATGTATAACGTAACTTAACAGTACAACTTCCTAACCAAAAGATTGATGCAACTTTGATCTCAACCGTAATTTACTCCGCTCATATCCCAATTGATATTCAACGGTCGGACGAGAACTGTTTGGATTTCTTATTTAGTGATTGATTGATTTGATTGATTGATGTGTTCTGTTCTACTCTCTTATTTATTATTTTCATGTATTTACCGGTGTTCTGCAGGTATTTCTCGAGAAGTGTAGTAGAATTTCAGGTAAACATTTCCGGCTGATATATTCAATTTTTATGCGAAAATATGGTGGTAAGTATTACACATTCGTCTTTTACAATTTAGCTTGTATGGTATAGGATGTTGTTGAGTTTTAATTCTAAATCTTTCATTAGTATGTATTTGCTACTGTAAAAAAAGAGAATTTATCTCACTTAATGTTATGGTTAGGAGGATGAATTTGTTCCATTTGTTTGTGTAATTGAAAAATTCATCCGTTACATGCACGTGCAAATTTTAATAGTTTGAGAAGACAGAAACATTTCTAAATTTGAAAATACCTTAGATGAATAAAGATTGATATTTTGAAGTCAAAAATTTTTATGCAATACATTTGTTTTTCTTTTCAGTTGCCACTATCACTTTTACGCACAGCGCAGAATCATCCGATGTTAGTTGAATTGAAAAATGGTGAAACCTACAATGGACATTTAGTTTCATGTGATGCTTGGATGAATATCCATTTAAGAGATGCTATTTGTACATCACGTGTGAGTTATTTTTTTATGAGTTATTGACTTTTCGTGTTAGTGAGGTTTGCTGAACATCAAAATTTAGTCCAGTTGATCTTGCAAATTTTCTTTTACTTTGCTTGCTATGTAGACCACATATGAATTGAGCTCTATCTTTAGATGACATGTGGAATGCTCCCCGCATGTCGCCTGCAATGATAATCTTCAAGATTAGTAACGGGAAGAACAATTAATTTTAATTTTTGTAATTTCTGTTTAGCAGTTTTTTTGAACTGTTTTTAACAATGGGTGTTATTTCTGCTTTAGGATGGTGATCGCTTCCTAAAAATGCAAGAAGTATATGTACGAGGTTCAACGATTAAATATTTGCGGATTCCAGACGATGTGGTAGAATTGGTGAAAGAAGAGGTAAGTAAAGTAATTCTCTCTGTTAAGTACTCTTTTGGAAATTTCTGTTATATTCTCTTTCATGTTCTAATCACTTGATGCGCAAATATGCACTCATCTAAGCTTGAACCATATTTTAATGCTCTTGTTTTGGTGGTGAATTTCAAGTAAAAAATTCTGATTTCAGGTTAAGGAGGTACGTAGACAGCAGAAAGACCAACAACGTGCAAAACGTAATTTACAAGGAGCTCGTGGTGGTGGGCAGCAAGGTCGAGGGGGAGCTTCTGGTCGTGGTGCTGGACGTGGTAGTAGTCATCATGGATGGAATCGAGATAAATCAGCTGTACAATGAACGATTTGTCTGTAAATTATTTTCCTTTCTCTTTTATATGTTGAAATTATGAGGAATTATTGACATTTTGAAAGTTGCAGTTAGATATGTTTAACAAATTTTTTTATGCCATGAATATCGAATACACATGTGTTTTGGATGAATTCTTCATGACTTTATTTTTTATGTTTTTAAACGGTTGTATATGATGTTTGAATAAATGCATCTCAAATATTGTTGTTTGAAATTGTATAGCTTTTCACGGATGCTATCCGTTAGTGCTTCTTATCGTTTTCACATTACTGAAGGAAAATGTTTCGTAATATTTCACGCTTGCTTGCTTGCTGCGTTTTTTGAATTAGAGCTGTTTTTAATATTTCTCAGTCGGGAATTAGACGCGAATATATATATATGTAGACAGTATGAGCAAAAAACATAATTGAGGGTAACGCATAATTTTAATTATCATGCCAGTGGGTTTTTTGATTTCTTACTATTTGCAGAACTAATAAAATAGAACAAAGATTCTTCTTTTATAAC